GATATATTTGGTGAATGCAATCATTAAGAGTCAAATATCGGAGATATTTTTCACATTCCCATAGTTTGTATGCTCATACCGCTAGGTGGACAGCTGAATTTATCTCCATAACCTATCATTGCAGTTTCCATTCTAAAGGGGTATGTTCTGTGCAATCAGCTGATCCTCTGGATTTTTGAACGACGCCTCTGTGGTTGCATTTAACAAAATCATTTTGGCGGGAAAGCAAAACTGTTCAATCTATACTCTGTAATCTGTGATTAGAATCACTTACGGCCATTTGCACCAGTGAACCTAAGGCTCACCTTAACATAAAAGTGACAGTTAAGTGACAGAATTCGTTTGCACCACTGTCACCTAGCGTTAAGGCGAACCGTAACAGGCAAATAATTTAAGGGGAAGATGAAATGCCGCTTAAGTGGAACCTAAAGTCAGATTCCAGTCAGATTTGAAGACCAACCTCAAACAGAACTGTTATTGCATAATTTTACAGTAGCAGTATTTTGTTGCAAACAAGCCCATTTGTCATTATCAACCGATAATAATTAGTATATTCCGTTAACTAAACCATTTTATGATGAATGTGTTAAGTAATGATCTGTTATTTGATAATGATGACATGTGCGAGTTCCTAGACTAGTTTACGAGAAAACACATTATTTGATAGTTTTGATGATGTTCGGTTTTTTCAACGTGTTCCGTGTCAAAGTACACCGCACTTTTCATATCGAACCTCATAAAAGAGGAAGGTCTATTTATATGTACCTCTCGTATATTTAAACGATATCTGTTAATTTCTGTTTATAGTCGATGGAGGATATAATATAAGGCCGTATTTATTAACTCCGTTACAACAGCCTGTAAATCGTGCAGAACAATTATTCAACGAGTCGCATATACGGATAAGAAATATAGTTGAGCGGATATTTGGTATCTGGAAAAGAGGATTCCCAGTCCTTGCATACGGTTGTCGTCTAAAAATAATTGAGTAGCGAGCAAAATGAGGATCAGTCACTTGATCGTGAAGATGTTGAACGCTTCATACATCTTATGCAAGAAGGTGAAGTACCTAACATAAGCTACATATAAACAGAAACAATATATTGTTGCAAGGGAATCAAACTAGGAGAGACTTAACTGATCCTATTTTAGATTCATTGATAAATAGCGATGAATTCAATTGAAAGTAATGCTTTTGATAAAGGACCAATATTATTAAATTAAAGTTCATTATTAAATTGAAATAACTTATGATGCATTACTAAAACAAATGGAAAAT